AAAGGCCGCATGATCTCTCTGGCTCCACTCAGTGTCTGAGATACCCCGCTCCTCTGCTTGCATCCCACAGCTCCCTCGTCCTCTCCCCTGCAGCCCAGCTCTCCTCGGTTGAGCCTGTGTTTATCTCCCTGGAAATCCTGCCCCGAATGGCCGTTCACCGTCTCCCTTTAAAATCCTTCCTCTCGAGTAAAGACGGGGCTCAGTCATACCCAAAGCTCACACCCTACCGAGTATTTCCTCAGTACCTTACAGAAAACACCAAACAAAAATGCCATTTTAAAAGAGGTGTATTTTTTTTTCTTTTCTTTTAGAATGTAAGCTCCTCAAGAGCAGGGACAATGTTTTCTGTATGTTCTCTTGTGCCTGGTACACTGTAAATGCTCAATAAATATTGATGATGGGAGGCAGTGAGTCTCAATGATGAGGGCAAGAAAAACCCAAGCACTGTTGGTTCTATGGCTTATTTCATTATGACCTGATGACATTTGGAAATACCAGCCCTTTTGGACAAATCATCCCAAACACTGCATTCAAATAGCAGTTGGGGGCGGGGGCTGTTTTCAAGAGAAATAAAAATACATCATTTGTGGTCCCATGACGCATCTTCATTCACAAACCATTTACCTTGATTTTTGCCTCAGCTCCCAGGCCAAGGAGAATTAAGCTATGGACAGCAGGATGTCATCTCATTCAAGTAAACTACAAATGATACCTGAAATCTGTCACGTTTGCCTACTTGGCTATTCATATGCATTAGACGTTGCTAAACTAGTTTGATTCTGCAATTGTGATTACTTACCTGCTACTAGTTATTGGTGTTTTTATGACTAGTGCCCAATAGAAGAAAGATTTGCAACCTCAAATTTTCCACCCCTTGGAATTTGAATAATAAATTTGTTTTTAACTTATTTCCCTAATTGTCCCAAATCAAGGCTTCATGTCTGTTTTGTTAATACAACATAAAGCCAGGAAACGGTTGGATCCAGCAGTGTCCTGTGTGTGTGCGCGCTAATTGGAATTATACCTTTAAAAAGGACCATGAGTCGTACTGATTGGAGCAGCACTTCTGTGCTGAGGCAAAAGGAAGCTTGACCTCAGGCCCTTGCCCTTGATAGCTGTTACTCCCCTCATGTCCCCAAAAAGGGGAGGTACATGGAGGGGAAAACAGGCTAAGCATTACCTGTCTCACAAAGTAGTTGCCAGTCCCACCATGTTGTAACGCATACAGCATACATGGGAATCTGCCGACACCGTATGTAAAGCATGTCCCGCCATCTTCAACCCCCCACTACCCCCCAACTTGACAGTGAAGTCCAGTGACTGAAAGTGACTCAGGCAGGTGCTAAAGCACTGCACCCTGGGGTGTGGGGAAGTGTTTGGCTTTGAGCAGGCCTGGAGACCATGACATCGGTGCCTACTTGGATACGAAATTTATAGACATGTTGCTAGAATAGTTAAGGCCTGGATCAGCCAGCTGTTGGGAAGACTGTTGCTTGCCCTGTGTTAATGCCTCATCACCTGGTCTTGTAAGATCTCCAGTTTACTGGGACACTGCACGCGTGCGTGCGTGTGCGTGTGCGTGTGCGTGTGCGTGTGTGTGTGTGTGTGTGTGTGTGTGTGGTGCAGAAATTCCTGTATCCACACTTAACCCTAGGCAATGGCAGAGTCCTAATCAGAAAGTCTTGGGTCGGGTGTCCTAACAGGTGTTGGTAAGCAGTGTTAGGGTAATACTGAGTGGATGGCATCAGTACAGGAGTGTGGACGGGAACACCATCAAGCCCAGGGGAATTTGTGTTGTCAGGATGGCTCAGTAAAGAAGGTGCCTAGCACCAGCCTGATGACCCGATTTCTGCCCCTGAAACCCACTTTGTACTGTAACGTCTACTGCACATAAAAAGTGATTTGAACATTTAAGAAACATGTACTCCAGGCTGCTGCTGGTGGTGGTGCACACCCTTTAGTCCCAGTGCACTGCCTCCTCAGTGCTGGGTAGACAGAGGCAGGTGGATTCTCTGAGTTTGAGGAACCCTGTCTTGAAAAAATCAAGTATCCACTCCAGTTTGGGGGCTACCGGATGTAGAAAGGAGACCCAAGCCCCAGGTCCAACATTCTAAATGCTGCTGTTGTAGTTCCTAATGCTTCAGACAGAACCTGCCTCAGCTTCTCCTTGTACTTATTTTCAGTGATTTCTTATTTTTCAGGTAAGAGCCCAGGAATTGTTTTGTTTTTAGCAAAACCTATGGGTATTAGCTGTCAAAACAGCTATAAAGTCTGCAGGAGCAGAGGAAATACATCCGACACTTGGGGAAAGTAAGGGTATATTGAGCCAAAGGAAAGCTAATTTAATTCTACATAGAAAATACAGTCCACAAAAGAAATTGTAAGCCTGCTTAGTGGATTGTCTCCCCTGCCCCCAAGGAAAAAAAAAAATAATGCTTAAAAGTGAACAAAGTGTATCTTTCACATCAGTGTCCCCAAATTACTTCAGGAACACCGTTTTTACTGTGCTGGAGGGACAGGGGTTATGAAAAGTCTAGGGAACTTACCCGCAATGGCAAGTACAGGTTTTCTTCTACGACGCCAGGCACACAAAAGGGGAGGGTAAGGACAAACTAGGATAGTGATTCCAGTTGGAGAAGACGGGAGCTGCTGGACACGGTAGTCCCAACCGTGAGGCCACAGCACCTGTAGTTACCTGCACAACAGTCCCATCAACCTTGTCCCGAGGAGGGGGGCTTAGGAGCCCTGCTTCTGGCAACAGGATGCTGTGGGAACGGGGTGCTGTGGGGGTGGCAGTAATTTTTCCTCACTGGTGTAATCACTGTGAGTTACCTAACCCTCCTGTCCACGCTTACTCGACCAACCCTAACTAGACTGTGGCACATACAGACATGAGGAAGGACTAGTTTAAAAGAGAGTTTCAATGGGGGAGGGAGGGAGTCAGGTTAATGGGGGGATTTACTAAAAATACATTGCCCATATGTGTGACATCTTTTTTTGCTTTGGGTTTGCTTGTTTTTTAAGATTATTTTGTTATGTATACACAGTTCTGCCTCCATTCCAGAAAAGAGCACAAAGGTCTCATTACAGATGGTTGTGAGCCAGCATGCGGGTGCTGGGAATTGAACCCAGGACCTCTGGAAGAGCACCGAGTGCTCTTAACCTCTGAGCCATCTCTTCATCCCATATAACACACATATGGTATACATGTGTCAAGTTGCCAAAAATAAAGTTTAAAATTGTAGGACACCAGCTTGCTGACCTTGCTGTGTGTAAGAAAAGCTTTTATGAAAAACAAGTGTTAGCTAGAAATGTACTTTTTGAACCTTAAAGCAATATCAATTCAAGTACATAAAACGGTACCCAGAAGTGGATTTAAAGATGTAACAGAAGATTGGAAAGAGTGTGTAAGGTACACTCCGTGACGAGGAGGGCTGTAGTCCCAGCACCCTGGAAGCTGAGACAGGAGATTGTCGGTTTGAGAACAGCCTGGGCTACAGAGCAAGATGTTTGTCTTAACGTTTCTACATACAGAAAAGAAAATGTTTAGCGCTTGTTAAAAGCAGATAAATAAGTAAATAAATAAATAAATGGGCATTACCTCATATATTCAGAACTCTCCAACCCAGCAATTCCCTGGTTGGTCTACCCTCCTAGAAACGTGTGTGCAGGAGAAGCCAGGGAGCCGTCCATCTTCACACTCTCAACTACTGTGACACACGTAGCAAAGCCTAGAGACATCCAAATTCTACATCCAAAGGCAAATGGAACTACTCTGATCATCTTCAGTGGTGGACAGGAATCAACCATAACCAGACATGATCAAATATTAATATGGATGCAAAGACAGCTGCTGAGGCTGGAGAGGAAGCTCACACCACCTGTTCCTCCCCCCCCGGAAAGCCACCACTGGTGTTCTCCAGCACCTACACCCTCACATACATAAAAACAGGAGAAGTAGCCGGGCGGTGGCAGTGCACGACTTTAATCCCAGCACTGGAAAGACAGAGGCAGGTGGAGCTCTTGAGTTCTGAGTTCGAGGCCAGTGTGGTCTACAGAGCAAGTTCCAGGACAGCCAGGGAGATATATCTTTAAAGTAAATCTCTTTAAAATGCAACTTTAGGAGTTGGAAAGAGGATTTGGTAGTTAAAAACACTGGCCGGTTCTCCAGAGGACCCAGGTTTGAATCCCAGCACCCACATGGAAACTCACAACTGTTTCTTGAGTTTGAGGATCTGACATCCTCATCTGGTTGGTGTCTGAGGGCACCAGTTATGCAAATGGTGCATAGACAAACACACGAAGGCAAAACACTCAAACTTTTCTAAATTAAAAACTTCAGCTGACAAGTCCCATCCCACCCACCAAATCCCCCAAAGAACTGGGGACAGACCAGCATCTGCCGCCATTGGAGCCTTGGACCCACACACCACCAGGAGAGGAGAAAGCCTTGGACTGACATCCGCCAGGAGAGGGAGAGGCCCCATCTGCACCCACCGGAAGAAGGGATGGGAAGATGACAG